TTTCTTGCACTTGTATTTCTTGCTCATGATTTCTTCTTTCTTGTTAAGCAACTGCTCTTCTGCTAGGTTCATTTTTACATTGTTCATGTTCACATGCACGTCTTAATTGTTGTGCTAGAGATCTTTGATTCATGCTGTAATTAGATTAATTGAAAGTGTTATTAAAGAAGATAGTAAATTAATATTTTTTAAATAAAAAAAAAGAAAAAAAGTATATATAAAAGATAGTAACTGCTAAAATATGTTTTAATCAATTTTGACAGCTGCTCTACCTTGTGACATGCATCAATGTAACCTGGATTTGCATGAAAAAAGCATTTTCTGCATTGCGAATACAAAGTAAAATTTCCAATTATAAAATATAATTGGAAATTTACTTTGAATTTGTGATGCAGAAGGATACTCTCCTCATGCAAATCCAGATTACATGTAGTAGGTCAGCTGTTAAAAATTGATAAAAATATCTGCCTTACGGTTATATACTACTTTTGGTATATAGTAGCGTTACAATAATCTCTACATATAACAATAATAAAGATGGATGCCCTTTTTTTAGACCTGGACTCAGGTGTCCAGGGTAAAATCAGCACTGAAAAAAGTTTCGAAAATCATGTGTTATTGTCAATTGATCATGATTAAGAATAATATTTATTATTAATAAATATTAACATTAAGTGATTTAATAAGTGATATTTTTTTTTTCGATTCTTTAAAATGAAAAGTGATCATTACAAAATGCAATAAAATTTTTATATAGATTCACACTTAACCTTTGTTAATAACAATATCCCTTAATAACTTTATAGAGCTAATGATTCAAAAATATGAGTTAGAAGCTTTAAAGCAAAAATTAACTGTTTCAATGGCAATTAATATTATTGCTGCAAGTGCCCAGAAAGGAGATGTGTCTCGCCCATTGCTCATATAAACTTCATTAGGCCGTTTAAAGTTGAATAGATATTTAACGTCATCCCCCTATATCCTCCCAGAAATTAGAAGAAAATGATAGAATCACATATACAGGGTTCTTTCATCAAAAGAATCATCATTTTTAATATTGGTATTGCCGATTTCATCTTCAGATGCAACCTCAATCGCTTCATTGACGTAATCCATCTCTGCTGACTTTTCATAGTTTTCAACCTTAACGTTAATTTTATTTGTCTTTATCTAGGTTGGATTGGGTAGGTCATACGAATTTTCTGTTCAAGTACATTGTGGACGTTGATTAACTTTTATACAACCCACTATTCTCATAGTTGCGCCTACTTGGTTTTTATCTTCCTTTAAAAGCACAAATTCAATAAACACAATACAGTATTCTAAAATATACTTGATTGCCATAACCAAATTTTCCGAATTTTTTTGAAAAA